GGGAGAGAAACACCTCTTTCTGTGTCATATATTGTATGCATTCTACCCACTCTAGAGCAGGTGTAGGTGTCACAACCTTAATTCCAGCATTGCACTACAAGTCCACCACACACTCTAGATTTGGCTACCTCCAGAAATCCTATGACCACAAGAGGCTTTGGGGGAATATGTGGGCAGAGACCACAATACCACCATATTGCCTTCAGCTGATTTCAACTCAGGTACACTCTTACCTAGACACTAAATTATAAACTTTATCTCTACATGTACATTTATGCATGGTAAAAGGAGTAGGGAAAACAGATCATGTTTTATATGCATAGGTTCTTGCTTCTATAGTTTCTTTCAAGGTTAAAAATCGATAATCATAGTTTCCTATTCTTCCACTCATGCTTTTCGTGCTTTTTTTTTTTTTTTTGTGGAGCCAGGGATTGAACTCAGGTGCTTGTGCTTGCCAAGGAGCGCTTATTCTACTGAGCCATCTCCCTGGCCCCCTAAGCTTTCTCTCTGGCTCCCCCAGAACCTTGATAAGGATTTTCCTTTCAACCTGAAGTGGTGAGGTGTTCTGACTTGTATTTAGACATTCCCACAAAGCCTAATGTGCTCATAGATGCTACTTTTGGGAGGTATTATGAGTGTGTGATGCTGTATTAGACTATGTGATACTGGGATTGAGTGTGTATGATAACAAAGTTAGCTTACTACAGATCTGAGTATGGATAAAGGAGCCCCAACCTGGGTGTGGGTGGCTTGTGGCTTGAATGGGATTAAAGGGAAATGGAGGCTTCTTGCTGCTACCTGCTGCTTCCCGCCTGTTCTGTCACGGAGTGTTTCTCCTTGGTGATGCCCCTTAGCCATGTGGCTCTGCCTTGAAGTCAGCCAACTATTGACTGAACCTCTACAAACAATGATTCAAAGTAAACCTTTTTTCTTTTAAATTATGGGTACTATGGTCTCAGGGAAGAGAAAGTAACTAAGATGTGCTGCAACACTAATTTCTACATAATCTGAAATTTAAGGAGTCTAGATTTTGCTGAGTTGCTGCAGTTTTCTAGTGATCATTATTATTGTTCATAAGAGGATCAATAGGTAGTCCGTAAGTCCCTGGGTATCATGCAGTTTTCCTTGCCCTCATTGTATGGACACAACCTTTTCGTAATTCAGGTAAGTCATCTATTTCATCACTATAAGAACCAAAATGACTGAAAGGCAATTTCACCTCCCAATTCATTAGAACTAGGTTGGGCTCTCCACTGGAACATTTCTTCCTTTTGGACTAATACTCACACAAAATAAACTCAAGGGGGCATGGACATGATATACTGAATACTTTTTATTTTTTGGTCTAGACATTGCGTCCATGAGACTGGCCACTGCATCTACTTGACACCCTAGTCTTCTGGTTCTTGGCAACTCCAGCCAATGGAAGACCTTGGCAGGATTTCAGAGCATGGGCAGAACAGAGGTGATTCTTTCTGCTTTGTTCTGTTTTTGCTTTGAGCTGAGGTCTGGCAGTGACTATAACAATGGAATCTTGCCCAGCTCTGCCAAATGTCAGCATTGACTACTTTTCTCTACTGAACCACATGGTACCTACCTTGTGAGTACCCAATCCTACAGCTGCAACTATAGTTCTCTTTTAATTTTCGTAACCACTTCCTCTCCCTTGTCCTTCTGACCTATAGTTCATAACAGCTCCCACTGTTCGATTAATTCTGTTGACCAAATAGTATACACCAGACACTGACCCATGTGTCTAAATATATTATCTCATTTAGATCTCACAGCCCCCCCCAATTAGATGGCTTTTGTACTACTGTAGATAGAGGAGATAAAATGACAGGGTAACACTGATAGATCTGGAAGTAGAATCTAAGGGCTTGTGGTAGTCTGTGTACTCCAATACTACCTGCTGACTCCATATGCTACTCTCTACTTCATAGACCAGTTCTTGATCTCCCTTAAAACAGTCCTTATGGCTTTGCTCCTGGCAACATACCTGCTCCCACAACTGGAAATGAGAATGCTGTAGCAATTCCTCTATTCAGCCATTCAACAAAAATGGTTTGGAATATGGGACGCATGGTCCGGTTTGCTAAGGTCTGGGGCTGAGATCATTAGGACAAGTCTAGGTGCTCATTCACATGCTGAGCCTGAAAAGTTAGATATCTTTTCCACTGACATGGTGGCCAGCTACGTGGAGGTAGCATCTCCCCTATGGACCTCCTCAAGGCTAGAGACTGGTGAAGTCCATGTTATTCTCCCAAGTCATCTGGTGACAAAAGATAGAATGCAGGAGTTCCTCAAGTATTCTTTCAGTGAGATTGGGAAGGAATCTTGGTTTACTCAAGATAGAAATTGCTTGGGGGGGGGTGGTGAAAAGAAATAGACATCCCTCAGTTTCCAGGGTGTATTAAACAGAGAATTAATAATTCTGGTCAAATCCGTTATTTCCTGTCTTAACTTTTTGCTATTCTACTAGTGGAAATTTTGCTGCACAGGAAACAGAAGTATTTAGTTGAGACTTTCATTCTGATTCTTCTGCCTCTCCTCAAAATCACATGCCTGAAACCCTGCAGTTTTGAATTTGCCTCTTTGATTTGCCCCTCCTTCCAGGGCGCTGGGACTAAGGACACTCTAGTCTTCCGTTGGCTGTTAGGCGTTGGAACCGAATCTTTAAGGCAGCTGACAGTGGCGCTGATTGGCTGAGGACTGTAACAACTGTCATGGCTAGCCAATCCCGAGGCTCTGAGGGAAAGGCCGGCACTCTGTGGTGATCCCAGCGAGCCCAGGCCTGGAGGCCTCGGCAGCGATCCCTAAATTTCCGTGTCTTTTTCACGCAATTAGGTGAGTGAGTGAGGGTGGTAGGCGGGTGGGAACGAAGGTCTGCACCACCAACAGCCAACTCGCGCGAGGTCACGTTTAGGGCTGCAGAGGCCCGCTCCCAGGGTCTCTGGTACTGGGAGGCATTGTCAAGCTCCTTTCAGTGCCCATTCTGTCCGCGGGGAACTCCTGGCCTCTGTCGTTATCGTGGGAAAAGTTGGCCTCTCAAAACTGAGCACTCCACTAGGGAGAATATCTAAATTACAGTAGCTAGGTCCAGAGTGTGGGGAGAACTATGGAAAATCTCCCACAGCCTGTGCTGGAGAAAATAGACTTCGATTTTTATTGGACAAGATTGTGATTAGGCAATCAGAAATGAATTCAGATAATGTATTATTTGATCAGGAAATAACGTACCGCAGGAATTTGGATGACAAAACTCATGAAATTTCTCAATCTCTCTCTCTCTCTCTCTCTCTCTCTCTCTCTCTCTCTCTCTCTCTCTCTGTCTCTCTCTCTCTGTCTCTCTCTGTCTCTCTCTGTCTCTCTCTCTCTTTCTCTTTCTTCCCCTCCCTCCCTCCCTCCTTTTTTCCTTCCCTTCCCTCCCACTTCCTCTTATCACCAGCAAGTTTCCCAGGGGCGTTTAGAATTTGTGGCTGGAACTTCTCTTCCAAGAAATATCCCCTCCCTTAGTATCTATAGTGAAGCTGCAGCATTCCACACCTTTTTCAAGGTCTCACCACAACCAAAGGAAAAAGTGAAGACAGCACACACACAAAGCAGCTTTCTCAGCCCTCTGAGACACACCAGGGCCTTCAGTTGTGTAAATACGAACATATTCATTATCCATTTTATGATGTGTAATCAATTATTCCTATTGCAAACACACCATCTTGCTCATTTTCTGATAAATATCTTGTGTGTGTAAGAAAGACAGGTAAAAGAATTCTGAACACCCTAAGGAATAATCCCAGGTTTTAGAAAATGACTTTGTTAGTGTTCTAGAAAGAGAAGAGGTTGAAAACCTTGAACTTCATCAAGGTAAAGTTTATGGGGTGTGGTATACTCATTTTTAGGTGCGGACTCCCACAGGAAAGTTTTTCCTGCTTGACTTTGATCTTTAACCCTTCCACCAGGGAGTGTCTCCTACCGTATCCAAACTACAGTTCAAGAGAGCAAGGCCCAGAAAAAAACAGAAGTCTAAATTCTAATTTTCTAATGTTTCTCGTCTGTAGATAATTGACATAAGAACTATCCTTTCACTTGAGAATTTCCCATCACCTGACAAATAAGAGCCTCTAAGGGACACAGATCTTTAATGTATATAGTGTGTCCTTGGAGAGAAGAGGGTGGTTTTTTCCCCTTCATTACATTTGTAGCAGATAAGAATTCAGTCATACACTCATATGTGACAGGCAAACAAGGAACACCAAGTTAGCTGAGCTAAACTTTTTCTTGTACTGTATCACCCCTGTCTTGCACAAACATTTGTGAAAAGTAGACACTGGAGATTATCAAGATGGATAATAAGGGCCGAAGAGATAGCTCTGTGGCATAAGCACCTGCCTGGCAAGCTCAAGGTCCTGAGTTTGATCCCTGGCACCAAACCAAACCAAACAAAACAAAAAACCTATGGGTTATGTATGGCTCCTGCCTTCAGGCAAGTTCTGGTCTGCTATTGGAAAGAATTTACATCAGGCTGTCAAAACTTGGAGAAAGGAAGGAAGTGCTGGATCCATGTTCGCACCCTCAGAGGTGGGACACACTGCCTCAGTCTAGTCATAGAGTACTCAAGTGGGACAGAGACAGAGGAAGAACAAAACTTCATGACCACGGAGCCCGTGCAGGGCTCTACTTCATCTCCTCAATAATCGCACTGGCCCCCTGGGCTTTGAAGCTGACTCTGATGCAAGGCCCCTGTAATTCCAGAATTTGTCCTTGGCCGTGATAGAGGGGAGCCATTTTTTTGCAGCTCCTATGCCTCTGATTAGTCCAAACTCAGGATTTCCTGATGAGCAAGGATCTAGGTAATAGGAGCTGTCTGCGCTTTCCACAGAGCACTTGTCCTGGCTGTAAGGCATTAAGACAGACCACTGACATGTGATGTTCCACAACCCCGCAGGATGTATACAATCTACTGTTTTAAATCTCCTTGCTTTTTTATATGTTAGGTCAAGATGGGGTTTATATTTTCAAAATCTATGAATGAAAACATGAAAAATCAACAGGAATTCATGCTTATGAATGCTCGACTCCAGGTATGTTTTAAAATAATTAAGCTATTATGCTCTTGCCATGGTTAAAGATTTATCACACGTTTTTAGCAGTACAATGTCTCATACACCCACAGGCCTATTTCTTCCTAAATGTTTTTGGACTCCACTCTCAAAGATTAGATGAAATTAATTGCTAATTATCTGGTGAATGGCCTTGTTTGAGTATCTAGTACAGATATTTGTGTCAAAATTTTTATACTTAAAGAGATAACTGTTTAGAGTGTATTGTCCACAGAATTATGTCCCCCAAGATATAAGGATTTGTCTTAATTCCCAGGACCTGTGAATATGTTAAGAGTAGGTTACCTTACGTGGAAAAAAGGACAGGGACTTTACAATGTGATTGTTTGAGGGGTTTCAGATGGGGAGATTATCCTGGATTATCCAGATGAATCAATTGCTATTATAAAAGGTCTTCATATGGTAAAGAGGAAATGAAGGAGAAGAAAAGGAGGAGAGGGAGTAGAAGAGAGGGAGAGAGGGAGGGAGGGAAACAAGGAGAGAAGGAGAGAGACACAGAGAGACAGAGAGACAGAGAGAGAGAGAGAGACAGAGAGAGAGACAGAGAGAGAGAGAGAGAGAGAGAGAGAGAGATAGTTGAGGGTGCTACACTTCTGGCTTTGAAGACAGTCAGTCAGGACCATAAACTAAGGAATCCAGGTACCCTTCAGAAGTTAGAAAAGGCAAGGGAACAGATTCTGTTCTGTAGCTTCCTGAGGGACACAGTCCTGCCAGTGTATTTTAGACACTAACCACAGAACTATAAAATAGCATATTTGTGTTACTTTAAATCATTAAATCCTTTATAATTTATTACATCAGCAATAAGAAACTAACACAAAGTGTGAAACTAGACAATGGATGGGTATAAAAGATGAAAGTATGGTAGACTGCCAAAATGTCTAACAATAATTGTCAAAAAAGTATGTTAAAATTTTGCAAGTCAAAATTAACTGTTAAAGGGCCAGCCAGCCAGCTCAGCAGATTAAAGTGCCTGCTCATGCAGGAGCAGGGACCAGGATTTGATCTCCAGAATGCTGTGCCAACCCCATCCCCAGGGCATGCTGAGACAGCAACTGAGACTGGGCATAGTAGCGCACACCTGTAGTCCCAGCCCTTGGGAGGCTGAAAACAGGAGGATCACTACAAGTCTGATCTGTGTAGTAAGACCCTATAGACCCTATACCAAATAAATTGAAAAAAAAAAAAAAAAACACAAACAAACAAAATTAACTGTTAAAGGGCCGGGGAGATGGCTCAGTGGAATAAGCGCTTCCCTGGCAAGCGCAAGGGCCTGAGTTCGCAGCATAGCTCATACTTTAAAATGAGGACTAAAACCAGGATGCCTGGAATTAAATCCCAATTCCACTCCTGACTAATTGTATGACCTGTTCTTCAGCATCTTGACCTGGATACTAGAGGTAGCAGGATATTGTTCAGAAATATATTTTAAGGAGTAAAGCCAACACATATTATCATTAGATCAATGATTTCAGTTTTTAGAAAAATGCCTCTTAGTCCATATTAGATGTTACTTTTATTATTGCTATTAATGACTGATAAGAATGCCCCCTGAAATGTAAAGATTCATTTTGGGATTGTGGAACAACTAAAAAAATGGACAACTGAATTATTGTAACAGAGCAATGTGTTTTAGAACAGATCAAGTATTAGGCATCAGAATCAACCATGTATTCCTGATCCTTACAGTATCCTTGTCAAAGACCTTCAGAAGTTATAGCCCCCATGATGTCAGAGTCTTTGAAGAGCTGGAGGGTGTACTCTCATTGCAAGCTAACAAGTTAGTGTGTCACAGAGGACCACAGGTGCCTAAATCAGAGACACAGGACTTTACTACAGAGCTTCAAGTGGCAAGATGCTATTCTCCATGCACCCCAAATCTCACAGAGGTGGTAGAGGTGAGCGTGGATTTAAAAGGGTTCTATGCACTAAATGGATTTGTGCCACATGGAGGGAACACTGAACTTCAAAAATCTATTGCTTTTATAGTGAGACAGGGGCAAGGGAGGTAGGAGGGGAAGAAGAGAAGGATCTGTGTGACTTCATTCCTTCAGGTTGTTTGTGGAAGCACAAGGAAAGAATGGCCCACGTAAAGAACACTTGGGCCTAGCTTGCTTGACCTGCACAGGAAAATCATGCACAAACATTCAGGGTTCACAATAATAACTGGATTGACCAGAGGCCATAGAAAAGTTTTGAGCTTTGTCCATTGATTCCAGTAGCCAGATTTCACACAGTGGAGTGGTCATCAGGTTTCATCTTACCTGAACCAAAGGTGAATGAGGCCCAGGCATTTAGGAGAGTATCTGTGAATCCAGGGTTCTACTGAGCCAGTAGCTATGGCTCCGTTGGCAGAGAGGGGGAAAACTTCTTCCCATAGGGGTGGCTACTACTCCAGAAACTAAAATTATACTTAGGCACAGCCAGGCCAGACTTTCCTCAAGTACATTATTTTATTTTATTTTTAGATTAAAAAATTTTTTATTTTCTACATATCTTCTTATAATAACAAATAACTGATTACCTGCCAATAAAATGCTCAGAGTGGTTCACCCTTGCCCTGCTAGGTCCTTCTACGGTTGGTTTCAAAATTCTTCAATTCATAAAAAAAGGAAGGATCATGTATGACAAGTAGCCACAAATATGCCAGTTGTCCAAGGCCTTCTCATCATGGTACATTATTTTAATTTTACCAGCAAAGCAGCCCCTCCCTTGTAGTTGGTGTGTCCTAGTTGTTGCTCAGCACAGTAAGGATGTCAGGCCTGGGAATTGCAGGGCCTCCACAGGCAAGTCTTTATCTGTAGCAAGAGCTCAGCAGTATGTCAATGACTGCTTTTTTCTACAACCTGGAAAGGAACCAACCTTGAGTTTGAATTTCTAGCCTCCATCACAGAGACAGCAAAATTATAGTGCTTAAATGAGCCCATCTGTGGTCACTTGTTTTGACAGCTCTAGCAAACATACAATTTTTGGGACAATTTGGTGTTCATGTCCAGCAGGTGGTGTTAGTGTACTGAGCAAACAGCCTTCCCAAAGTTCAGCAGCAGATTTTCTTTTTTTGCATTGGGACTTTTTTTTTTTTTTTATACTGGGTACCAAACTCAGGACCTTGTCCTTGTCAGGCAGGCTCTTATGCCACTGAGCTATCTCCCCAGCCCTCTATTGTTTCCATAAGACCACTGGGAGAGGGTGAAGGAATTCATGAATGGGAAAGACCCTCTTGTAACTTTGATTTTTACAATACAAGTGTGAGACACATCAATTTCATTATACATTTAAATGCATGCAGAAAGTGGGGTGGGGAGTGTGTGGGTATACCTGACAGTGTCTTTACTTGGTTCAAGGTCCCTTTAATTTTCCTTCCTCACTGAGAACTTTACTCAAACGCTGTCATTTGGTGCAGGTGTCTTGTTGTTCCTCTTGTTCTGATCACCCACCAGAGCCTAACACAGGTTCTTTAGGGATTGGGGATTGGATTCTTGTTTTAGGGGTTAGCACAGTCTCCCAGCTGGAGGGAGAAGACAAAAGGTCAGAGAGATCATTTTGTCCTTTGATTCCTTATGCAAGGATGTTGGTGCTTCCTCCTCTGGAGAGCACTGCTACTGGGAAGAATCATTCATTTAGCCTTCACTAGTGCCCCAATACTGCCCTGCAGTCCTTGGTGACCTGGGTCACTTTGGTGCTTTGGCCATCCTCGCTCTGGGGACCACGCAGACTTCGGCTCCTGCATCCAACAGATGGATAAAATTCCCCAAGCCCCTCACATGTCCTCTCAAAATATCTTGAAGTTGAGGAGGAGGGGTGGGAAGGGCTCAGAGAGCAGAAAAGAAAAGCATCTTGTGGCTAGTAAACCAGCTTGGTATTTATTTTCAGTTTCAAATGGTCTCCTGCCACTGCACTCAACAAATAAATTTCTAGTGCTTTCAGGCTACTTCAAATTCTTTATCCCCATTGCTGACATTTATTTCTGCTTTAGGGACTCATCAATTCAGTAGCATCAGCCACATTGCATTGCCTTTGATTAAAACCTGGGCCTGCCTTGCCATTGTCATGATAACATCCTTCCTCTCTCCTACCCTGGAGGACATGCAGTAACCAAAGCACCATTTGGGCAACTTGTTTCAACCCTGTCTTTTGTTGCTGCACTTCACTTCACACACAGGACAACGAGGGCCCTCACTTAATCCTCCCAGCCTCACCGCCGTCTACCCAACAGCATTCACCACTTGCCCTGGGGGCTTTTTTTTTCACATCCTCTCACCCAACCAAGGGCCCTTGTCTTTTCCAGAAAGCCACGTCTGTAAGACAATTTCATCTTTGTGACCCAAACTGTCTGGTCTTGTGAAACATCTGGACTTCCACTACACTTGTAAACAAGTTAGCTTGTTACTATTTCACAGATTTTGGCAGAAGACTGTAACCCACAGCAGAACAATCAGCACATGGGTGATGTTGGCATTAGTTTTCCACGTACTCCCACGTCCCACAGCAGGAGGTAGATTAGCCTAGCTGGATGTGGAAATGGATGCAGTGGGTTTATGACATAGCTGAGAAACACTGAGCTCACAGAACTACTATGCCCAGGCAACAAACTGATGAATAAGAAAGAAAACACACAATAGTGGGCATGGTGGCATGTGTTTGTACTCCCCGCCTCTGAAGCAGGAGGATCAAAAGTTTAAGCACAGGTTGGGCAGTTTAGTGACTTAGCAAAACCTTGTATCAGAATTCACAAAACCTGGGTGGAGGTAGGGCGCTGGGATTGTGGCTCAGTGCAAAGGCTGTCCTGGGTTCATTCCTCAATATGCAAGCAAAAACAAACATAAGAATAATAATTTGATTTGTATACTTAGTGGGGAAAAAAAAAACGAAAAAGTGGAATGTATAGACTCCCTCAGTTTTCTAATAAATAAAAGCTATAGTGTGGTCCAAAGAAGAAACACTTCCAGATATATGCCAGT